ATTTCTGTTTTCACCTCCCAAGGGCAGTGAAGGCGCCTCCTTAGGCCTGGAGGGATGTCCTGATTAAATTTGTGCTGGACTCTGACAGGGTGGGCTTATGGGGGCGACCAGGGGAGAGCCTTTTGTGTCTTTTTAGGAAACTCAACTTACCTTTTACAGAGACTTGTGCAGACATACCATCATGTGGAGGCAATCTCTCTAATAGGTCACTCAACTGCTCTGGGAGCACACGATTTCTTATAAATGGGCCCAAGCAGGCTATTGGTGGAGAGAGGTGGCAGGATCTATCCTATTACCTATCCTTCTGAGGCACTCCCTATACTCCAGGAGCTGGGCCTCCCAACGTAGCCAATACTGGCGATGAACAACCCATCGTGGTCTTCGACAGCTGGCACACCACCAACCGGACTGGAAGGGGCCTGTATGGGCTACCTGCTAGTCTTAGAGTGAGTAAAAAAATCATACAATGTTGAAGAAACACGCAGCAAAATGATTCAGGGGCCACTTAAGTGGGAGATACACTATATGGTCAAACGTTGGTGGACACTCATACTAATTATTCAGTTCATGTGTTTCAGCCTTACCCATTGCTAACAGATGCATACAATCCAACAAAGAACCATAGAAAAACATTGATAGCACAATGGGTCATAGTGAAGAACTCACTAACATTAAATGTGGCATTGTCACAGGATGCCACCCTTGTCACAAGTCACTTTGTGAAATTTCTGACTTGGTCAACTGTAAATGCTACTATTGTGAAACAGGAGTAAGCTGGTACACAGGGCCGGACTGGCCCACCGGGATACCGAGAATTTTCCCATTGGGCCGCGGCACCTGGGGCCGACAGGAAGCCCTAATGTTTTATTTAAATAATTTTTCCCTCGGACTGTGACAGCTTCTGTCAGTCCGAGGGAATTCAGGAGGCAGGTGCTGGGGGCTGGTGCCAGCGGCAGGGAGCACTGTGATGATCTCAAAATGACCGGGCCCCCTGAAAATCCATGCCCATCAGGTGGCCCTGACAGCATGGGCCACCCGATGGGCACCTCAAAATGTGGCCGTGGCGGTTTGCCGCAAATGATGATGGCGGGCACCTGGTCGCAGGGGTCTGCAGGGCGGCCGGGACCCCTGGAGTGACGGGCCCGTTCACAGCTGCGACCCCTGCTACTGCTATATGTACGTCAGTGTACACATACACATTACGTGGCACAAGAACTTATGGGGCTGGCATACATTTTTTTTCCAGGGCTGCTTTGAATTCCCAGTCCGGCCTTGCTGGTACAACACGCATACTAACAGTGGGGGTGCCAAATGCTAAAGCATACAGAGAGTAAAAAATGCCTATTCGCTGTTACATCACTCACTATAGAGATACAAATTGCCTCTGCAAGCAATATCAGCAAGGGAACCTTGCATTGGGAATATTATGAAAATGGATTTCCATGACCGAGCAACTGTACACAAAGCTAATTTCAACATGCGCAATGCGAAGTGTCAGCTGAAGTGAAGTAAAGCATGCTGTCACTAGACTCTGAAGCAGTGGAAACATGTTCTCTCTAGTGACGAATCACATTTCAATCTGTTTGAGTCTAAAGAAAGAATCCGAGTGTGCGGATACCAGGAGAATGCTACCTACCGGAATGCATAGTGCCTACCATAATATTTGGTGGAGGATGGATAATGGTATGGGGCTATTTTTTCAAGGTTTCGGTAAGGCACCTTAGTTCTAGTGAAGAATCATCTTACATTAATGCTACAGGATACAAAGATATTTTAGACTGGAGAAACTCAAGTGGCCTGCACAGAGCCCTGATCTTAATCCCACTGAACATTACATAGTTACATGGCTGAAAAGAGACCTGCGTCCATCAAGTTCAGCCTTCCTCACATATGGTTTTGTTGTTGATCCAAAAGAAGGCAAAAAACATAGTCTGAAGTGCTTCCAATTTTGCAACAAACTAGGAAAAAATATCTTCTTGACCCCAAAATAGCAGTTAGATGTCTCCTTGGATCAAGCAGCTATTACCCCACTAATTAGAAATTATATCCCAGTATGTTGTGTTTTTGCAAGTATTTATCCAATTGGAGTTTAAACATCTGTATGGATAAAACCATCTCTTCAAGAAGAGAATTCCATATCCTTATTGCTCTTACTATAAAAAAAAACAAAACATTTTCTTTGTCTTAGATAAAATCTCCATTCTTCCAGCCTAAATGTGTGACCTCGTGTCCTATGTATAGCCCTGTTTATGAACAGATTTCCAGATAATGGTTTGTACTGGCCTCGAATATATTTGTATAATGTTATCATATCCCCTTTGAGGCGCCGTTTTTACAAACTAAAGAGATTTTAATTTTTTAACCTTTCTTCGTAACTAAAATGCTCCATTCCTTTTATTAATTTTGTAACTCGTCTCTGCACTTTTTCTAGTGCCATGATATCCTTCTTTAGAACAGGTGCCCAAAATTGCACAGCATACTCAAGGTGTGGTCTTACCAGTGTTTTATAAAGAGGCAAAATTATAATTTCATCCCGAGAATTTATGCCCCTATTTATACATGACAGAACCTTACTGGCCTTATCAGGTGCAAATTGACATTGCATATTGCTGCCTAATTTGTTGCCTATAACAATTCCCAAATACTTCTCGTGTGTGGTTATCCCTATTGCTTGTGCATTCTTGACCTCTAAGTGCATAACTTCGCATTTCTCTACATTAAATTTCATTTGCCATTTTAGTGCCCAGTCCCCCAATCTATCCAAATTCATCTGCAGCAAAGCAATATCCTGCTCACATTTTATTACTTTCCAAAGTTTTGTGTCAATATATTTGAGATGAATTGGAATGCAGACTATTAGTGAGACCTTCACGTCCAGCATTAATACCTGATCTCACAAATGCTCTCTTGGCTGAATTTCCATAGACACAATCTAGAATTCTGTGAAAGCCTTCCCAGAAGAGTGGTAGCTATTATAGCTGAAAGGGAGGGGTATCTTCATTTTAATGTCCATGGTTTTGGAATGGGGTGTCCAAGAGACTCCTATAGGTGTAATGGCCAGGTGTCAACACATTTTTTGCCATATATTGTATGAAATTATCTGTAGTGAAGAGTTTTCAGATTGGTGAAGTTGCTTGTATAGTTGAGATATTGCATGGTGAAGATGGCCGGGCGATCCTTCTGGGAACAAATGTTCTATAAGTAAACTATTTGCCAATGTGGATAAATACATGAGTTTTTTTCTTTTCATTTATGTTGAAGGGACACTCCAGGCACCCAGACAACTTCTGCCCATTGGAGTGGTCTGGGTGCCAACTCCCACTACCCTTAACCCTGCAACTGTAAATATTGCAGTTTTGATAAGCTGCAATATTTACCTTGCAGGGTTAACAATTCCTCTCGTGGCTGTTGCATGCGCATTAGGTTTCCCCTGTCGCGGCCACGCAATAGGTCCTCCCCGCCGGATGATGTCAGCGGGGGAGGAGCATGGGCGGACCCTGAACCAGCACCGAGGGACATCGGCGCTGGATACAGGTAAGTCACTGAAGGGGTTTTAACCCCCTCAGCAACCTGGGATGGGGGGTGGGAGGGAGAGGGGACCTGCAGTGCCAGGAAAACGGTTTGTTTTCCTGGCACTGGAGAGTCCCTTTAAGTTGGAGTCTGGGGTGACGCAGCATTGTCATGAAGAAATGGACCCCTTAAATCAGGGGTTCTCAACCTTGCCCTCAAGGACCCCCTACCAGTCCAGGGTTTAGGGATTACCTGGGTGTGTCTAAGGTGTTTAGAAAAAGGAAAAAAAAACACCTTAGAGTCTAAGGTTTTTTTTTCTTCCCTTTTTCTAAACACCTTAGACACACCCAGGTAATCCCTAAACCCTAGACTGGTAGGGGGTCCCGAGGGCTGGGTTGAGAACCCCTTCCTTAAATGAACTTTGCTAAGTAGAGAGCAGCATATTTCCCCTTATATTTCACTCACAATAAACACGCCATCTGGAAATCAGAAGTTAAAAGAGAATTATAAAATCATGGCAATTTCATTAAACTGATGAACATAATTCACTACATTCTTTATACATGTATCTTAATTTAAATTCTACAAGTGTATATTATGTACATATGAAACGGCAGGCCTTAGTCTGTCATGAGCACAGCAGTTTTTAGAGGTATTTCCACAATTCTACAAACATACTTAAGAGAAATGAGCGTAACTAGGCAGCATGTTTCAGACATAAATAAGAAGAAAAAAAAAATATCAGTTCAAGATGTACTATTACACATCATCCTGGGCACTGCGCTTCTGAACTATCTGTGAAACTGCACTTATAGAGAATCTACAAATTAATTACAATCTGGCCAAAATAACCAAAGTGGATGCTAAGTATTTTCTTTTTAATTCAGTGAATTTGGCTTAAAATCCACACTATCCCTGTAAAGTGCCTATATTTCCTGATTTATTGAATAACCCTTCAGGTGTGGTGTGACATGTAGCCCATATTGTCCAACTTTGCAATGAGGGCACTAAAACATCAGACATGATGTCTGTGATGCAATAAAAACCCGCCATTTCCTGTCAGACTATATATCTCTATCAGCGTGACACAGCTTGCAGTCAACAATATGGCCGACACATCGGTCACTAAAGGGGAATGCAGATTCTGCCCCAAAGCCCCAGCAACAGCGATTGCATCACATCCAGCCAATCACAAGACGCCTCATCCCACCAACCACGCCCACCGGCAGAATCTTCCAGAGGTCTCGACAACAATCTACCCTTCTCTGGTGTGTATCCATCCGCGTCGCTTAAGTCCAAAAATAACTGTCTTCTATTTTTTTATAGTAAGTCACGTTTTGCAAAAGGAATATAAGAACCGTTTCTTGGAAAGGCTATAGGCACGTTGAATCATCCAGCGCCGCTATAACGGCGTTTTTAAGCCTCAAACTACGTTTATTTCCCGGGCGCCTGAACATGTTCACGGTGTGGTTGTGATGAGTCACCGTTAAGGGTATAAATAGAGGGCGCTGTGGCGCAGCGCTTAGTTTGTTTCGCGTAATCTCAGAGTACAGAAGCTATATCGAGTCGAGTGTTGGTTCCTCGAGTTTTGTTTCTTTATACGAGGTAAGGTTTCGTTTAGGTTTTATTTATTCTTTACAGAGGGAATTTTTTTTTTTTACATCAATTAAGAACACAGCTGTTTAAAAAAAAAATATATATTTTTTTTAATTTTCTTTTTTTAAATCAGGAGTTCTTGAGTTATATTTTAAGCCATATTGTAAATAGCGCGTTTTTAGGCTTTTTACATTAGTTCGGAAGCCATTGCCAGTCTTTATAGTTCTAGCCCAGCCTCGGCTATGATGTAGTTTAGCCATGGCAAAGCATCATGGGAGTTGAAGTTTCCCCTGAGCTGCTGATGTCCACCTGGTCTCTGTAGTTAGCTGTAAGTACACTGATCATTGTGTGAGGCCTTAGGTTGTTGGGAGTGTGATTACTTCTCGAGCCTGGCTCCTGGTATTGAGTTGACTGTAATTTATGGTCAGATTTTACACTGTGTGTGTGTGTGGGGGGGGGGAGGGGAGGCTATGGGTATTAAGAGAAATGATTGGAAATGTTGCACTGGCTGCATTGAGTGGGTATTCAGGATGTTATTTTATTTATTTAGCACCATCAGATATATGGGTACAGGGTACTAGATATGTGGTGATTTAAATTATTAGTATCTTACACTCCTTCTCAAGAATAGTTTTTTTTTAAACCATGTTTTAGAAATCACAAGGAAGATATGAATGACATTGGCAGCTGTTACTGTTGATTAAAATCGGTTTCATTATTTGCATATGGCCCTTAGCTGTTGAACAATATATCAAGTTACAGCTGGAGTACTAGACTTCTCCATCACTGACTTACATGCACAGTAACCATGATTGTGTTGACATCTGTTATGCAAGTTACCTAGAAAGAATTGTAGCCAGAGGTGTTTCTATCTAGACTTGTGCAGTGAAATGTTCTTTCACGCCTAATGGTTATTCGCAGATCTTGCACATCTACTTGGTGAGATGTAGCTGGTGGCATAAAACTTCATAGGTAAAATGTGGTTAGAAATTTACATACTGCTGACTTATCTAAAACTCACCCCAGTGTCACCCATAGTCCTAAGTTTATGGCTGGCTGACCCAAACATGCGAAAGTCCGCACTTGACCCTGCAACTGTTTGTCTTAATCAGCTGTCCTGGTCCTTAGCCAACATTTAGGGTTCAAGAGTGAGATGCTAATTAGTATATTATTCTGTGGTATGCTGTTTAACTCTCAGCTTAATATAGCTAACCAAATTCTCCTGGTGGCACCCAGAGAAGTTATTGTTTAAATATAAAAATGGCTTAATAATTACACCAAAGTCTGCCCTAGGAGATTCCTGGTAATTGTAAGCACAATAGGCAACGCTTTTGTAGTTATCAATTTTTTTTTCTTGAGTAACCTTTGTAGGTTTTTTTGTACGCTTAACTTTAATGTGGTAATTTTAAAGAATTCCAGATTATATTTTTTCTAAATACGCATTTATATCTTGTACTTTTTTAATATAACGGCCATTGAGTGACTTTTATGCTGTTATTGGCTCTTAACGTAAAGCTTCTATGCCGTCTATCACTACAGCAGAGAATGCCACGTTAAAAAAGTTGAACTATTGCATGACAGCTAATGTTGTCTGCAAATCGTTTTATTGTCGACATGTCCATGAAACTGCTGTGGGTTGGTTTTAAAAGGGACTATCTTCCCAGGTGTTTTTTTGTTTTTGTTTACTAGGACTCCTGTTTAATGAATAGTGTGAAGGTGAAGGTGTGAAACTGATCAGTTAACACTGTGCTTTACACCTGGCTGTCAACTATACAGATAAGAGGGGAGATTAAATAATGCTATTTATTCTTACTTTGCCTTGTCTGATCTGGATTATTTTGCTAACTTTTAACAAATTTAAGAGAACCAGATTTATTGGGTGTTAACACAAGTGACAGTAGCATTTTATTGTGGTAAGTATATGAATACATGTGCAATAAAGAGTATATTTAGTTTGATTTATACATTGCAAATTAGTATAGTTTTATAATGCCTAATGATCCATTCTGTTTACTTTTAGGACAATATGCAGATCTTCGTAAAAACCCTCACTGGCAAGACCATCACACTAGAAGTAGAACCAAGTGACACAATAGAGAATGTCAAAGCAAAGATCCAAGACAAAGAAGGCATTCCTCCAGACCAGCAGAGATTGATCTTTGCAGGCAAGCAGCTTGAAGATGGTCGCACTCTCTCTGACTACAATATTCAGAAAGAATCCACACTGCACTTGGTCCTTCGTCTGAGAGGTGGTATGCAGATCTTCGTAAAAACCCTCACTGGCAAGACCATCACACTAGAAGTAGAGCCAAGTGACACAATAGAGAATGTCAAAGCAAAGATCCAAGACAAAGAAGGGATTCCTCCAGACCAGCAGAGATTGATCTTTGCAGGCAAGCAGCTTGAAGATGGTCGCACTCTTTCTGACTACAATATTCAGAAAGAATCCACACTGCACTTGGTCCTTCGTTTGAGAGGTGGTATGCAGATCTTTGTAAAAACCCTCACTGGCAAGACCATCACACTAGAAGTAGAGCCAAGTGACACAATAGAGAATGTCAAAGCAAAGATCCAAGACAAAGAAGGCATTCCTCCAGACCAGCAGAGATTGATCTTTGCAGGCAAGCAGCTTGAAGATGGTCGCACTCTCTCTGACTACAATATCCAGAAAGAATCCACACTGCATTTGGTCCTTCGTCTGAGAGGTGGTATGCAGATCTTCGTAAAAACCCTCACTGGCAAGACCATCACACTAGAAGTAGAGCCAAGTGACACAATAGAGAATGTCAAAGCAAAGATCCAAGACAAAGAAGGCATTCCTCCAGACCAGCAGAGATTGATCTTTGCAGGCAAGCAGCTTGAAGATGGTCGCACTTTCTGACTACAATATTCAGAAAGAATCCACACTGCACTTGGTCCTTCGTCTGAGAGGTGGTATGCAGATCTTCGTAAAAACCCTCACTGGCAAGACCATCACACTAGAAGTAGAGCCAAGTGACACAATAGAGAATGTCAAAGCAAAGATCCAAGACAAAGAAGGCATTCCTCCAGACCAGCAGAGATTGATCTTTGCAGGCAAGCAGCTTGAAGATGGTCGCACTCTCTCTGACTACAATATCCAGAAAGAATCCACACTGCATTTGGTCCTTCGTCTGAGAGGTGGTATGCAGATCTTCGTAAAAACCCTCACTGGCAAGACCATCACACTAGAAGTAGAGCCAAGTGACACAATAGAGAATGTCAAAGCAAAGATCCAAGACAAAGAAGGCATTCCTCCAGACCAGCAGAGATTGATCTTTGCAGGCAAGCAGCTTGAAGATGGTCGCACTCTTTCTGACTACAATATTCAGAAAGAATCCACACTGCACTTGGTCCTTCGTCTGAGAGGTGGTATGCAGATCTTCGTAAAAACCCTCACTGGCAAGACCATCACACTAGAAGTAGAGCCAAGTGACACAATAGAGAATGTCAAAGCAAAGATCCAAGACAAAGAAGGCATTCCTCCAGACCAGCAGAGATTGATCTTTGCAGGCAAGCAGCTTGAAGATGGTCGCACTCTCTCTGACTACAATATCCAGAAAGAATCCACACTGCACTTGGTCCTTCGTCTGAGAGGTGGTATGCAGATCTTCGTAAAAACCCTCACTGGCAAGACCATCACACTAGAAGTAGAGCCAAGTGACACAATAGAGAATGTCAAAGCAAAGATCCAAGACAAAGAAGGCATTCCTCCAGACCAGCAGAGATTGATCTTTGCGGGCAAGCAGCTTGAAGATGGTCGCACTCTCTCTGACTACAATATTCAGAAAGAATCCACACTGCACTTGGTCCTTCGTCTGAGAGGTGGTATGCAGATCTTCGTAAAAACCCTCACTGGCAAGACCATCACACTAGAAGTAGAGCCAAGTGACACAATAGAGAATGTCAAAGCAAAGATCCAAGACAAAGAAGGCATTCCTCCAGACCAGCAGAGATTGATCTTTGCAGGCAAGCAGCTTGAAGATGGTCGCACTCTCTCTGACTACAATATTCAGAAAGAATCCACACTGCACTTGGTCCTTCGTCTGAGAGGTGGTATGCAGATCTTCGTAAAAACCCTCACTGGCAAGACCATCACACTAGAAGTAGAGCCAAGTGACACAATAGAGAATGTCAAAGCAAAGATCCAAGACAAAGAAGGGATTCCTCCAGACCAGCAGAGATTGATCTTTGCAGGCAAGCAGCTTGAAGATGGTCGCACTCTTTCTGACTACAATATTCAGAAAGAATCCACACTGCACTTGGTCCTTCGTCTGAGAGGTGGTATGCAGATCTTCGTAAAAACCCTCACTGGCAAGACCATCACACTAGAAGTAGAGCCAAGTGACACAATAGAGAATGTCAAAGCAAAGATCCAAGACAAAGAAGGCATTCCTCCAGACCAGCAGAGATTGATCTTTGCAGGCAAGCAGCTTGAAGATGGTCGCACTCTTTCTGACTACAATATTCAGAAAGAATCCACACTGCACTTGGTCCTTCGTTTGAGAGGTGGTATGCAGATCTTTGTAAAAACCCTCACTGGCAAGACCATCACACTAGAAGTAGAGCCAAGTGACACAATAGAGAATGTCAAAGCAAAGATCCAAGACAAAGAAGGCATTCCTCCAGACCAGCAGAGATTGATCTTTGCAGGCAAGCAGCTTGAAGATGGTCGCACTCTTTCTGACTACAATATTCAGAAAGAATCCACATTACACTTAGTACTTCGTCTGAGGGGTGGTTGTTGAGCACATACTGACTTTTTTCATGTTGATTGAAATGTTTGTTGCATTATCTTCATTGCTCACCCAATTGAAAAATGTTTGTCAAATAAACGTTTCTTGCATATAATAGTTTCATTGTTTCATTCAAAACAATATTTAGCAATGTTAGCTACTTTGTAGTTGGGAATCATAACCCTCCTGACTACACTGATCATGGCATATATCAGTGTTTCTTAAATATATCAAGAACTGCAAACCTTTTTTGGGCATTATGACTTATCTACTTTTCTGGAATGTCTGTAAAGCCTGAGTTTTTGGTCTTGGGAGAGGTTTGAGAAGCACTTTAATATGTCAATATTTGTAGGTCTTAGTCTTTATTATCCTCTTGTTTAGTTATGCACAGCTTTTGTTGGATGCTTAGTTGATTTTTTTTTTTTTTTTTTTTACTAATTAGGTTAATTGTTGCCTTAAAGTTAGTGAATTTTAACATTATGGAAGTGTAAACATACTGTGACAATAGGACAGCAGTCGATAACAGATAATAAATATATAGTGCAGATGGTAATGCAACGTGGTGACATAGGGCATATTCCCTGGTGGTTGTGTAGAAGCTTTCAACCTTAAATTCTGTTTGGTAAAGACTCTTCTTGTAAACCCAGGCACCATGTGGTATGGGAGCATTGATGTGGTAACATGTCTAATGCTATGAAACCTGGGGCTTGTGACAGTGTGGACCTTCAGCAGAGATGACTGTAATGCTGTGAGACTCTGCAAAGACCCAGGGAGATACCTGGATGTTTGTTTTGGGCCCTATGGCTTGCCAGGCCCCTTGCATATGTTGTATCATGCTGATACAAAACTGCAAACAGGTCTGCTATTAGGAGTTTTACCTCTTATTTCTACAGTAATAGCCTAAGATTTAGTCATGGCACAGCAGAAGGTTCTGATAGTGAAGGGAAATCATTGCAACATAAACTATATACCAAACATTGTGTACCTAATAGTGTTAACAACCATTCATAACATTGAGCTGTTTTGCATATATAGATTCTTCACTAAATCCATGGTAAAATTGTCATTTTATTTAATACACTTGTTTAGTTGGGATGATAAAATTCACCTTTATAAAACCATATATGTAACATTATTTTAGTCAAATAGAACTGAACTTAAACTGTTTTGTAGGCAAATACTTTATACACTTCTAATTTTTTAGACTCTCCAAAGCTTGTCTTGATCGCCCCATTAAAGTGCAAGGAACTTGAGGACTGAGTCAATTGTACAAGTTCTGATTAAAACAACTAAGACAGTCCATCCCACCGACAAGTGCTATGGAAGTTGTTGGCACTATATAAATGATTATAATAAAAAAATAACATGCGTACATATGGACCAGGGATCGGCCCATATTCGGCCATGAGGTATAGACGGGAGCTGCTTGGAAGTTAGGAGCTTGTTGTGGGCCCCCACTCCCTAGCCAAAGAGGGACTAAAACAAAAAATAAATGCCTCCCCTCCAATTTTACACAAATTACATACCTACAAACACTCTGCATTCATTAGACACTACACAAACACTGCATACATTATATACACATACTGCATTCATTATACACAATACACACTGCATGCACTGCATTCATTATATACACAGCATTCACTTCGCACACAACACTGCATTTACTATATACGCACACTGCATTTATTATATACACTACACACACTGCATTCACTATATAATTAGACACTGCATACATTATACACATACTGCATTCATTGTACATAATACACAAACACTGCATTCACTATACACACTGCATACATTATATACACATACTGCATTCACTAAGTACTTCATTCACTATACATACTACACAAACTGCATTAATTCTATACACCGCATTTACTATATACGCACACTATACACTGCATTTATTATATATACACTGCATTTATTATATACACACTGCATTCACTTCACACACACACAACACACTGCATTTATTATACACTAAACACTGCATTTGTTATATACACACTACAAACACTGCATTCGTTATATATACACTACACAAACTGCATTTATTATATACACTAAACACTCTTCATTATATACACACACTAAACACACTGTATTCATTATATACAATACACACTGCATTCACTATATAAGCACACGACACAAACACTGAAATATACTCCGCGTTCATTATACACACTACACAAACACACACATTCACTACATGTGGCATGTATATTTTGTGCATTTACCTTTAGAAATAGTTTATTTTTTCAAAATGGTAAATGTACAGAATATCGGTAAGTTATCGGCCTGAAAGTTCAGATTATCTTATCTTATTTTTTAAATCAACATCGGTCGATCTCTAATACGAACATACAGACACATACTGACAACTTTTTTTTTTTTTCAGCCACCCTCCTGCTTCTTAACTTTTCAGGGCAGGATGGTGGCTGGGGTTGGTGGAAATCGGCTGTCTCTCCCCTTCTCATGGTCATGGGGTCTGGGCCTGTGACAACCGTCATGGTTGTCACCCCTGATGGCTTTGGGTGCCTTTAATATGAAAGAGGTGAATTCTGGTTGAACAAATAGCAAGTTTTTACAGTTTGTTTTGTACAATTGATTCAGTCCTTAAGGGGTAAACTGCCAATCTAGTCATATGATCTTGGAGTCAGGCAGTCCCCCAGATTGGGATTGGTGCATATGTTAAGTATGGTGGCTCCTGGCAGGGCTAGAGTGGTGTACTGTGACACCCTAAAGGCATTAAAGCCCTGTTTGTGCAAGAAGGCATAGTAATGGCGTTAAGGTATTAACAGTTAATGCTGTGCCTTCCAGAAGTGAATTTCACATTTGTGATCTAACTAGTAAAATTCTAAGTCAGCTATACTTTCAGTTCTGCTTCTCTGGCCTTAAATGAGCACTCTAGGGTCAGGAACACAAAATGTATTCCTGACCCTATAGGGTTAAAACCACCATCTAGCCTCCCTGGTACCCTCATGCCTCTCTAAAATTTGCAAAATCTTACTTTTATTCGTCTGGAGCTGCTGGCTCTTTCCTTTATAGACCTGCCTGCTAACCTCAGCAGAAGTGGTAACCTGATCCAATCCCAATGCTTCCCCCATAGAATTGATTGAGACAGAGAAAAAGTCAGATCAGGGCAGAGCCAGCACAATTCAAACACAGCCCTAGCCAATCAGCATCTCCTCATAGAGATGAATTGAATCTCTATGAGGAAAGTTCAGTGTCTGCATGCAAAGGGAGGAGACACTGAATGTTTGGATGCATTTTAGGCAGCCATGGCCCAGGAAGGATCTCTAACAGCTATCTGAGGAGTGGCCAGTGAAGTTATCACTAGGCTGTAATGTAAATTCTGCATTTTCTCTGAAAAGACTAGTATTTACAGCAAAAAGCCTGAAGGTAATGACTACTCACCAGAACAAATTCAATAAGCTGTAGTTGTTCTGGCGACTACTTTCTCTTTAAATTTGAAATTCACTTTAATTCTCCATTTAGTAAACAATCCTGTAACCTTCCCAACCATATTCACTCGTGTACCCTTTCCCAGTCTATTTCCATAAATTATGCCCCTCATATGAGCAAAATGTTTGTAATTCATAGTTCCTTTTCTCTGCACCATCTCCCCTTTTTATCCTTCTGCTCCTCCTGCCCCAAGCATATTCGTATATCCAGTGCAGATACTGACGCATGGTATTGTACAGATACAAACACGTACATGCAAATACAGACCTGTAGATGCAAACAGTATGTCAGTATCTGTATTTGCATGTGTGTCCGTGTGTTTTTGTGTTTATCTGCATGTCAGTGTACATCTGGATGTGTGGCAATGTTTGTGACTGTCTGGGCATATGTGTCATGTTTCTGCACGTGTCAGTGTATATGTGCATCTCTGTATCTGCATGTGTCTTTGTAACTGGATGTGATTGCTTGTGTCACTGTTTATCTGTTTAAATGTGTATATCTGCATGTCGGTGTGTAACTATATTTAGCGGTCACTGTTTTTATCTGTTCATGTGTCCATATCTGCCTGTTGGTGTATAACTATAGCTGTGTCAGTGTTTGCTTCTATGTATTTGCATATGTCAGTGTGTGTATCCTTGATGTGTAAGTGATTGCTTCTTTGTATGAGTATCTGTATATCTGCAGGTGTCAAACACTGACACATACAAATACACACTGACACATATGCAGATATTTAGACACATACTGCTACTCATGCAGATATATACACACACAGACATAGAGATACAGATACCGATGTCAAAATTATGTCCACCCTCCAATTTCCTACCTTTTGGATGCAGTCAACTAGCCTCTGCTGACTGTTAAGAGTTGGGGGCTTGCTTTACTTGTCTCTTGTTCCCCTGGTGGTCTCTGTTATCTGTAAGGAAGTGACTGAGTCACTTACCCCCGCCCTCCCCAGCAATGTGGTCATCAAGGGGGCCCACTAGAGCTTCCATTGCGCCCACCATCCAATAATGGATTTTATCGCAAGCAGGAAGTGCCCCTAGTGGCGGTATCTCCTCTCTGAGTGTGTATTCTGACAAAATAAGTGGCTGAATTTGTCGAACTGGGGCGATTTAACTTTAACCCAACTTTAGGATGTTCTGTGTCATCCTCCAAAAGGTGTGCATTAGGACTTCACAGCATGTCCTAATCATATGGTGCTCCTAATGATCTTGTCCTCTCACTCCCCTCTCAGTCATACACACCTTGCTGGATTGTGATTTGGTGACTTGCCTGGCAAACTTTGCAGTAGCTCAGCAGCCAATTACTGCTTCATGGGAACGATGTTACAGTAAATTAATTCAAACATTGCCAGTGCCATTTTTCTTTGCTCACTTTGATCTTAAAGTGGCACTGTTATGGCCGAATCCCGTTTGTGTTTTTTTTGTTTTTTTAAACCCCCCTCCCGACTCCACTACATCTAACTGACCCCCTAGTCACCCAAAAATGCCCCCAAGCCCCCCATATTACCTATTTTTATTCTTTATTTTCTGCCCCGATCTATATTCAGGGCACCGCCATCTTTGTGTGGGTAGATTAAGGCCCTGTGGGACACGTCATCTGCCCATAATAGCCTGTGAGATTCCTGCACATGCCCAGTGAAACACTTGGACATGCGAACGGGAATTTCACCTATTCATTCATTCGTCAGAAAGACGAATGTATGAATGGAAATATCAGATGACCAAACAAACACTGAATATAAATGAAGTTTATTACAAGGAGGGAGTTACCGGCACGCAGCTCCCTCCTTGTAATATGTAAAGATAGAAGCGGCAGGGAGCAATGCTCCCCACCACTTCCTAAACCCCTCCCATGTCCTCCTCCACTCTATGGGGGTCAATATGACCCCCGTAATAGCATAAGGAAGATTAAAATCTCCCAAATGCCCCTACTCGCTATACCATGAGTAGGGGCATGTCTACTGTGGCTGCTCACTGTAAAAAACAAAACGACTATCCAGCCACCACACCTGTGCGGTGGGTGGGGGCCATGAATTACAATGGGGGGGACCTACTGTCCTCCCCCGGGCCCCCACCCCTGCGCAGTGGGTGGGGGCCATGAATTACAATGGGGGGGACCTACTGTCCTCCCCCGGCCCCCACCCCTGCACGGTGGGTGGGGGCCAAAAATTACAATGGGGGGACCTACTATCCTCCCTCACCGGCCCCCACCCTTCAGCGATGGGTGGGGGCCATAAAGATAATGAGGGGGGGACCTACAGCCCTCTCCTCCCCTGGACCTGACCCAAGGGCGGTGGGTGGGGACCATAAAGATAATGAGGGGGGGACCTACTGTCCTCCCCCCACCAGCCCCCACTCCTGCGCGGTGGGTGGGGGTCAAACTGTCCTCCGCCCGGCCCCACCCTTGAACGGTGGGTGGGGGCCATAAAGATAATGAGGGGGGGCATTTACAGTCCTCCCCTCCGGCTCCCTACGGTGGGTAGGGGCCATAAATTACAATGGGGGGACCTACTGTCTTCCCCCCACTGGCCCCCACCCCTGCGTGGTGGGTGGGGGCCATAAATTACAATGGGGGGCCTACTTTCCTCCCCCCACTGGCCCCCACCCCTGTATGGTGGGTGGGGGCCATAGATTACAATGGGGGGACCTACTGTCCGGCCCCCACCCCTGCGTGGTAGGTGGGGGCCATAAATTACAATGGGGGGACCTACTGTCCTCCCCCCGGCCCCCACCCCTGCGCGGTGGGTGGGGGCCATACTGTCCGGCCCCCACCCTTGAATGGTGGGTGGAGGCCATAAAGATAATGAGGGGGGGGGCATAAATATAATGGGGGGGACCTACAGTCCTCCCCCCACCAGCCCCCACCCCTGGACGGTGGGTGAGGGCCATAAAGATAATGGGGGAACCTACTGTCCTACTTATGCGCGGTGGGTGGGGGCCATACTGTCCGGCCCCCACCCTTGAATGGTGGGTGGGGGCCATAAAGATAATGAGGGGGCGACTTACAGTCCTCCCCCGGCCCCACCCCTGGTCTGTGGGTGGGGGCCATAAAGATAATGGGGGGGACCTACTGTCCTCCCCCGACCGGCCCCCACCCCTGCGTGGTGGGTGGGGGCCATAAATTACAATGGGGGGGAGCTACTGTCCTCCCCCCGGCCCCCACCCCTGCGCGGCGGGTGGGGGCCATAAATTACAATGGGAGGGAGCTACTGTCCTCCCCCCCGGCCCCAACCCCTGCGCTGTGGGTGGGGGCCATAAATTACAATGGGGGGACCTACTGTCCTCCCCCACCACTAAGCGGCGGGTGGGGGCCCTAAGACAAATCCCCCTCCATCAAAGGTAACTAGGGGTCCCAGAGCCCCTAATCACCCACCCCCAAAAAAGTTACCCCCTACCTACCCCCCTACCCTAAAAAATAGTGAGGGGGAAATAAAATAACTAACCTGTAAAGAAAAATTAAACTTACCATTTGACGTCTTCTTTTTTCTAAAAACTTCATTTTTCAGCCCTAAAAAAGGCCAAATAAAAAAACCATCATACCCGTCGAACTTAAAATAAAATAAAAAACCTGAGGGCAAAAAAAAAACCAGATGAAATAGAAAAAACCTGAGCGCAAAAAAAATAATCCATCTTCACCCATGGAGGGCTCCATGCAGACTGAGTTCTGCAGGGCGGGGGAAGGTTTATAAAGCCTTGCCCCTCCCTGTAATTAGTTTAAGAAGACTGTGATTTTTTGGTTTAAGCCAATCAGAGTGCTTTGTGTCATTTTAGGCTGCTCACTGTTTAATAGACATGCCCCTACTCGTGGTATAGCAAGTAGGGGCAGATCATTTACTAATACTAAGTAATCTTTACTTAGTAGTAGTAGTAAATGGGGCTGAAAGACCAATTTAGGTCTTTCAGCCTTTTGGAAGATAACTCCCTAATACCGTGGGAATTAGGGAGTTATCTACTAAGCTGCTGCAAGATGCAGCCTGCCCGGGTTACTGCATGACGTCACTAAAGGACGTTCCCATGGTCAATGGACACCATGTCCTTGATTCCTTGATGTGTAGACCAAATGCAGGGAGCTTGGGCTGCACAGTAACGAGCTTTCCGGCAGGGGAGCTATCTATTTACAATATAGTAGAGACAGCATCTAGTCACAGAGCTACCCCTTAATAAAAACATATAACAACGGCAGGGGGCTAATTGAGCACTAAATACAACAGAGGGGTAGGGAAATATTTAGATGCTACAATTCATGATACCATGTACATAATAACATTAATAACGACCAGATTACTGAAAAGCCACAGTTAATCAAAATACCAACTCCTAATGTTAGCTGCATGCAGAGCTCAAAGTGAGATCAGCTTGCAGCTCTATTAATGGGGACTTAAATCCCCATAGACAGCAATATAGTGTGCGGAGGGTTAAATCCCTGCTCACAGTAGAAAACCCAGGTATCATTAGAAACCTCGGGGTATCCACTGTCAGTTGGGGCCATTTTTGATGAGCTGCATGCAGTGCTGAAAGTCAGTACTACATGTAGCCCTTTAACCCCTTAAGGGCCAAGCTTCTGGAATAAAATGGAATCATGACATGTCAGACATGTCATGTGTCCTTAAGGGGTTAAATCCACAAAGAACACTGCAGCTAAGGATCAAGCTCAGCTACAGTCATTCTCTCAAGTGATCTGGTGCTCGGGAGACCCACACGGTCTGAACAGACCCTGGAAGGTCACTCTCCAGGCCCCAATGCCATTCTGATCAGTGCTTGGCTTTTTCAGTTGCTCAGCACAGATCATATTGCATTGGGCTTAATGTGTTCAATGTAAGAGATAGGAGACTGCAATACTGAAAAGAGCCAGAAGATGGCAGCAACGTACCACTGTCTGTTTTAGTTTAAAATCCCTTTACTATTATCAGTACTGATGTTAGCAGAGGGAAGCCTTTGGGATTAAGATTAAATTAACAATTACAATTAAGGATTATTATTCAGTTTAGAATAAGTATTAGATTTATTATCACGTTTATTATTAAGTTTATGTTTAAGATTAGGTTTATAATTAATTGTAGTATTGGGATTATGTTTCAGATTATGGTTCAGATTAGGATTAGGGTCAGCATGGGCATCCCTTGCTGAATATAGCAAGGGAATTCCTCTGCTGACACCAGCTGGGGGAATAATTTTAACACTAAAGCTTGTAATATTTTATGTGAGAGTCCCCATGGTGTCCACTTTTGCAAATGGTATGCATTGGTGGCGTAATTTAAATATTTGAGCTACTAAAATGCCCCAAAATGAAACAAAGACCCACCAAAAAAAAAAGTGCCTTTTTAAAAAAAAAAAAAAAACACTGTACTGGGCCGGGTATCATTTTAGCCCTCTGTTTTTTTCACAAAAACCTGGCTAAGGTATACAAAGAGGGTAATTTTGTACTCAGGAAATATAGCTGAGAATAATTTAGTGATTTAATTTACAGTAGCATATATCAAGTTTCCAAAATTAACCACTTAAATGCAACGTGTGTATAAAAATGCAAAAATAAAACAATACGATAAAATTTGAATGACATTGGTGCTAAAATAACTGTATAATAATGCTCAAAATATACCAAATGACATTGCCCCTGGTGTCTACTTTCACAAATAGTATGCATTCACGGGGTAATTTTAACTATCGAACTGCTACAGTGCCCTAAAATGCGATATAGACACATCAAATCCATTTATCAAAATTCTAATTGTAAAAACTGTAATGGTCAGGACTCTTTTAAGGCACTGTAGCTTCACAGGATAGTGGCAAAGACATACATTGGGGGTATTGTTTTATTCAGAAGAGTTTGCCGAGCATAATTATGGAGTTGTGATCACAGTGGCACATACCAGACTTGAAAAATGAACAGAAAAAATGTTATGTGTATGTAAAAAATGCAAAAAAATAAAAAACATTTACCACAAAGTTTGACATAAACTGGTGAAAAAATTCTATCACGTTAAGGCACAATATGCAACATATGAGATACACTGTAGTGTCTACTTTCACAAATGGTAGGTCCTTTAGGGGTACAGTGAAATGCCCTAAAATGAGACTTGCACCCATCAAATTCATATATCAAACTTATCACTGTGAAAACTGAAATGGCCAGGTCTCTTTTATGACACTGTAACTTCACAGGATAGTGGCAAAGGCATAGATTGTTTTACTCAGTACATATGGCTGAACACAATATGGGGTTTTCTACAGCAATAGTATAAATCAGCTTTATGAAATACACATTAAAAAACCTTGTTTTATGTGTGTATGTTAAAAATCTGAGAAAAACACAATTTTACTACACTATTTAGCAGAGATTGGCTAGGTAAAAAGTGTCAGAATTCCCTTAGGTAAATAGCCTGTGATGTGTGCTTTATATAAATAAATAATTTTGTGCAGCAATTTTGCTTTCTGTGATGGCTATTAAGCTTACAAGACAAACTTAAGAAAATTCTAAAATAGCTCCACATTAAAATTTCTATTATTTATTTTACTCCGTGTATTTTGTGACTTGTAACTTTCAAAATAAGCTGAAATCCTAGACATATTATGTACTCTGAAAATCAGAACAACTAATTGAATATTTTTTTAAATTACTTTCCATAAGCTGCACTTATTATACACACGCTATTATTGCCTAAACTGTGAAAAAAAACCCTATTTTTGTCCTTTTTTTTGCATTTTTTTAAATAATAAATAAGAATGTATAGATGTATATGTCACAGCAGATTAAAGCCCTTTTTGTCCTTTAAAAAAACGGTATATTATAATGTGTTGATGCAATAAATAAGAAAAATGCAAACTGAGGTTGAACACAAACAGCAAAAATGCAAAAATTGCTTGTGTCTTTAAGGGTAAGTCCAGTTTTTGAAGCTGCGTCCTTAAAGGACCACTGTAGGCACCCAGACCACTTCAGTTATATGAAGTGGTCTGGGTGCCCGGTCCATCTAGGGTTAACCCTGCAGCTGTAAACATAGCAGTTTCAGAGAAACTGCTATGTTTACACTAGGGTTAATCCAGCCTCTAGTGGCTGTCTCACTGACATCCGCTAGAGGCGCTTCCGCTCTTCTCACTGTGAAAATCACAGTGAGAAGACGCTGGATGTCCATAGGAAAGCATTGAGAAATGCTTTCCTATGGACTGATTGAATGCGCGCGGCTCTTGCTGCGCATGCGCATTCAGAGCTGACGTCGGAAGAGGGAGGAGAGTTCCCCAGCGCAGAGGGAGCCCTGCGCTGGAGAAAGGTAAGAGTTTAACCCCTTCAGCCCCCTTGAGCCCAGCGGGAGTGGGACCCTGAGGGTGGGGGGGACATAAAGACCCTATAGTGCTAGGAAAACGAGTTTGTTTTCCTGGCACTATAGTGGTCCTTTAAGGGGTTAAAAGAAGAAAAACTACCACAAGAGTTTTAAATTAGAAGAGCAAAGGTTTAAAATAATTATCAGGAAGTATTACTTTACTGAGAAGGTTGTGGATGCATGGAATCGCTGGATTTTGTAGTCCTAATAATCCAGTGTGCAGCCGAATGGTTTTGCCTCATTCGCTTTAGGGCAACTTCTAGACACTGGGCGGAGTTACTGCTCTCTAGAAGTGGCAATCATGACACGTCTAGTGACATACCTGACAAGTCTAAACACTGGGCTAAATTGCCACTATCTACATGTGGCAGTCCCCCAACTGTCAGCAGAGACTGCTGCAGGGAATTAGAGTGTGCTCTATCTGACTTCTTCAGAGAGTGCAGGACTGGAACACCTGCAAATGCACCAAGATCCCACTGGACCACCAAGTAATGCAATATTTCCCATCTTCTTGCACTGTAGACAAGAAGCGCCAATGGTTTTTAACTATTTGCCTTAAGTAGAAATAAAAATAAAAGGCATTACTATGTGGAGAGACTATGCTTACCCCCTCTGTCACAATCCCTCCCTCTCACTAAATCACACTCCTCCCCCAATTCCGCCAAAAACCCTTACTCATTCACCTTCCTCCACTTGCCCAACCTCCTCCCCTCACCCAACCAAGCTCACACTGTGTCACACTTACCACTTTTCTCCCTGCAAACAAATTCCGCAGCACTGTACAATGGGTACTTAACACTTGTAACTAAAGCTCATTGTAAGTGATTGTTGTGACATCCGACCACTGAGATTTGTTGAGGAACTGGATTGTGTGTCTAAAGCAGGTACCTACAATGGCAGGTAGGACCCTAACAAGCAAACCCTAACCCACCACAAACAAACAGCAAGGATAGTCAAAGAGCAAGCCAAGGGCATAAGAAGACCGGATAAACAGAGAACACAAGCCAAAGAGTCAGAAGCACTGAGATCATATTTAATAAGTAAAATTACCAAGATCAAAACCACAAATCAGAACTGCAAAGGAACAGAATATTGGGTCACTACAACAGTTTTACACCCTCAGTCACCTTTGCCAGTGATTATGATGCCAGTCACTGTACCTCTGCCCCTTTAATTATGATGTTAAGCAACTCCCACATTGTGACATTATTTAATCATTACCAACCCCCAATCACATTTTGGGGTTATGGCTATCAAGGAAACACCCCAGGCCTTAATACTTGAGTCAGGGTCTGTATTATGGCAACTTACATTGCCATAATACAGACCAGGACCGCCGGGCTCATTACAAGCTCGTCGGTCCTGGGGGAGCTGGCAGCAAGCTGTTACTTACCTTTCCTGCAGCTCCTCCAGCTCCCCTGTGTAAATCTCGTGAGTCCCACGGCCGCAGAGCGTTGCCACAGGTTACCATGGCAACGCTCCGCGCGGCACGCAGACCGCGAGATTTACACAGGGGAGCTGGAGGAGCTGCAGGAAAGGTAACAGCTTGCCTCCCCCCCCACTGCTCAGCCCATACTACTGGACCACCAGAGAATGCCACAGCCCCCCTCCCTGGCCAGGTAACAAGCAGGGAGGGGGAACAAAAAAAAAAAGTAAACAAATTAAATATTAAAATAAAAATATTAAAATATTAAAAATGCCCACCCACCACCCAGTTTACACACACTACATAAACACACACATACTCTGCATCATATACACACACTGCATTCACACAAACACACACTCTGCATTCACACAAACACACACTCTGCATCATATACACATTCTGCATCCACACAAACACACACACTGCATTATATACACACTCTGTTATATACACATACACTGCATTTATTATACACACACACACTGCATTATATACACACACTGCATTCATTATATACACACACACACACACACACACTGCATTCATTATATACACACTACACAAACACGCACACTGCAATCATTAACTACACACACTGCACAAACACACACACACTCTGCATTCATTATGTACACACACTACACAAACACACACTGCATTCATTATATACACACTACACACAAACACACACTGCATTCATTATATACACACACTACACACAAACACACACACACATTGCATTCATTATATGCACACACTGTAAATAAATATTTAATTAATATATTTTTTTGGGGATCTAATTTTATTTAGAAATTTACCAGTAGCTGCTGCATTTCCCACCCTAGGCTTATACTCGCGTCAATAATTTTTCCCAGTTTTTTTGTGGTAAAATTAGGGACCTCGGCTTATATTCGGGTCAGCTTATACTCGAGTATATTCGGTACATATCTCTAATGTACTGCTCTTCTTGTCCTGTGTGGCTCTATTCTGTGTGTTGGGTACCAAGGTGCATCAAAAACAAAGGAAAATTGAAGCAACTCTTCAGGCACATCTGGAGTCAAACTAAAATTGATGCAAGAATGACAGGACTCCTCAATTTATTGCATCAAGAATGATCCTGGAATGATGTGACTGCATGAATACTAGATTGACCTGTATGTGCTTGTATGTGTATAGTGTGCTGCTCACAATTTACGCAGTGCAGGAAGGAAGAGACTCTAGCACACATAACAATACCCAGATAACTCCCACTATCCTACCAATGACAGAGGGCTTTATCAAGAATCAAGATCTTGCCCATAGCTATTGATGCCTGGTGGAAGCAGCACCGGATGGGGAATACATCCATCAAAGTACTGCCTAAGGCCAGTGGACTACTGCTCTGTTCTAAACCATGTCAAGGCTTGGTACATTCCACAGTTAATTGCAGTCCACTGAGCACATAGCTCTAATCAGATCAGAAGCAATTTTTGCTTTACTGCTTCAAGTTACTTTTGTGTTTTGGAATACGGTCCCTGCTAGGAGTGTGAGACTAAACGGTGTTCAAACAAACTGAAAACTAAAACAATTTTGTGTGGTCTGATGTGTTAACATGGTCCAAAGAACAAATCCACATTAGAAGTTGAATATAGGATCAGATGTATGTCAATTAAACTGTGTCTGTTGAACTAGAAATTTAAGAAAATACATTATTCGAGGCTACATTGGAGATAATGATCTATGAAATAATTAAGGATTTTAAGTGATATCCACATAAAGAACATCAGAACAGATATCTTTTCAGACATGGTAAGTTTTTCCAGTAACAGATTTTCTCATTTACATAAGGGTGTAAACAGACAGAGAGAGCAGTTCACACACTGTCCAGTTCTCCAAGTATCCAATGGAAGAGAGTACAGAATGTTCAGGCACACCAGGTAATTTCTACTGGAAGACATTATTATGGGCAATCAGGAAATAAAAACAATGTTTGCGGCTTCTGCACACCACTCTGACTTGTCAATGTCGAAATTTTTTTATTTCCTTATTCCACAAAAAAATTG